GTGTGGTTGAAAGGGGTTATATCAGTCAGGTAGCAGTGAGCGGCTCAAGGCTTGTCACTGCTACCCGACTGGTAGTATTCCTTCCAAGCCTTGCGTTCGTCCCCTTATTCTATGTGGCCCTTCAATTACTTATGATACAAGTGCGCAAAGTCGTTGATTATTTATGAGTTTATTATGAAATTTTTTGCAACACTAAACCAACTAAACTTGCCTGAAATTTTAGGTTTATTGATGGTTATGAAAAATGAATAATTCTAGAAGCTAAAATAAAAAAATGTGAATATAAATTGTTCTTCCTTAGTGAAAATAACAAAAATTAACAAAAATGTGTAAAGTAATCACTTTACGGACTGAATATTACTTTTCACAATGAACTTCACATTACACATTGCAATTAATGTGAAAAGTAAAAAAGCAGTAATAAAAAATAGTAATTTACAGGTTAGTGTTGCAAAACAAAGTTATTTAAAATATACCACCAACAATGTAAAACATTACAGAATTTTAAATACAGTTACTGCATTTTTTTTAAATTAAATTATAAAAACAAATTAAAAAGTATCTCTTATGTTTATCCTGAATAATCAAAAAATGGCAATTAATACAAATATTGATGGGAAGAAATGGGAAAATTGCGCATATTCATCACTTTTATTGAGTGGCATTGCGCTATTTGCATTAGGAAATAAAGACTGACTGTCTGTTATCCTCTCGTTAAAGCCAATGCTTTAAAAGTGGATATGGAACACCTTAAGAGATGCCATCCATCCCCATAATGGGGTGGCCCTCAGCATTCCTAGTCGTATCCATAATATGGATTGTCTTTAATTGGATAGAATTTGTTTATTTAGAAAGGATTTGCAAAGGCGTACATAGACATCACAAGTAAATGCGGTATTGTTCACCATTTACAAGAAGGTACATGGAAGTGAGGAAATACTGTATCATACTATTATTTTAATGCCATATTAATAATTCTCGAAACAGAAATAAGAAGTAAAAAATATTCTCAAATAATTACGTGTTATGTTAATCAGAATAAACAAAATTCAGAATATCGAAGTATAGAAAGAGCTAATTAAATGTTCAGTTTTACTTTATAAATTCTTAATTGAAGAAGTATCTATAAATTACAAATTGTATTTTTTAGTATATTTGTGTGAATGAATTTCATTTGACACAAGTTTTTTTACGGAATATTTACTTTACAAACTTTTATGTCATAAATTTTAAAGCAACTGAACTTACAATTGACAATTAATATATATTTTATCGCTTTTTCACTTAGGAAAATGTGGTGTCAAAAAATATTTTATTTATCCAAAGTATTATTTAACAGTTATTGCTGAATTACAAGAAATTATGATTATGATGAGAAAGAATTGCAAATTCGCACATATTCATCGCTCTGATAGAGTGGCATTGCACTATTTGCATTAGGAAATATAGGAATAGGTACTTTTCGTATCCTCTTTTAAAGTAGAATATGTACTATATTCAATTTAATTTAATTTGACTGTTGAGAAAGGATATGCAAAAGTGTACAAGTTCATCACAAGCTAATGCGGTAGTGTACACCATTTACATGAAGGTATCTTTAATTCAATTGAATTTGACTCTTAAGAAAGGATATGCAAAGGTGTACAAATTCATCACAAGTTAATGCGGTAGTGTAGACCATTTACAAGAAGGTGCATGGAAATGAGGAATTGTTTTTATAAATGAGTACATTTACTTTAACTGCAAAATCAATAATACTTTAAATAATTTTAAATCAGAAGAAACGTATTTACAAAAGTTGTAATTAATTTTGTGAATTTTAATTAAGCGCTTGACTGCAAGGTGCACAGGGCTCGAACCAGTGAAAGAATTAAAAATACAGACCAAAAATACAAAATTACGGATTAATTACTGACAAAAATATAACCGGTCCGAGTCAAATAATCTTTTATTTGACTCTTACATTTTACTTAAAACTATATAAATTAAATTTTTATAACTATTAAACATGAGGTTCGATTTCTTTATGTTTTATATTATTTAAAGATGACCTAGTGATAAAATCATTTACAATTCAATTCCCATAAAGAATCGTTATGAACAAATTTTCAAATATTTAAATTGTATCAACGAATTTTAATAAAATGTTTAAGAATAATTACATTTTTCGACAAATTTAATTAAAATTGTATTAAAAATAATTAAAATTCTGCAATGAATTTTATTATTTGTGAAAATAATTAAATCCCTAAGAAGAATTTTATTACTTTTGAACTATAATTAATTATTGCGAAAAATATTATTACTCTTAAAATAAATTATTTTTGCAATAATTTGTAACTTTTACAAAATTGGATTTTTTTCGTGTCTTTAACTAAACATCTTCTATAAATCCATTATTTTTAATAATTAAAAAAAATTTTCTTTAAGAATTTTCCAATTCATTTGATTACAATACAATTTTACAAAATTCCAATTATTCGTAAATTCTTTAATGAAATATATATTAGAAAATAATTTTTAAAAAATCCGCAATTAAACTTTCTCAAAAAAATTAATTCCATAAAATTGTTAGTTTAAAAAATATCAAAAATTTAAATTTTCAAAGATTTTAATCTGAAACCTTTTCAAAATTCAATTATTCCTAAAAATTTACGCTCTAATGCTTTTAAAATTAAATTATAATCAAAATTTTAACTGAAATCCATTTTTAAGGAGATTGTTTACAGGTATGCAGACCTTCAGAAAAAATATTGAATTAACATTAAAGAATTTTTTAATATTATTGTTATTTGTATCTTCTGAAAGAACAAATATCAATTTTCAAGAAAATCGGACAAGTGCGAGTTGCACTCGCATTAAAATCGAGGGTTCCGTACAGCAAGATGAAACTTTTTTTACACAAACATACACATAGTATATGACATGGTCATGACTGGGTCATTTTTTACAATTTTTTCAAAAAAATTCAATTTCTTTCTCTTCTAGTTCGCAAATATGACCGCCAATCAGGTTCGCAATATTTTTCCTGTAATCTGCATTTAAAAATAAATATTTGTACCGAATTGCAGCTCACTATTTCATGATTTGTAAAAGTTAAGGGGGGGAACAGTGTCATTTTTTGCAATTTTTTCAAAAAAATTCAATTTCTTTCTCTTCCAGTTCGCAATTATGTACACCAAACAGATTCGCTATATTTTACCTGTAATCTTCACTTAAAAATAAATATTTGTACCGAATTGCAGCTCACTAGGTCATGATTTGTAAAAGTTAAGGGGGCGTCGACACGGACATTTTTTGCAATTTGTTTAAAAAAATTCAATTTCTTTCTCTCCTAGTTCGCAAATATGTCTGCCAATCGGGTTCGTTTTTCTTCCTGTAATCTGCACTTAAATGTTAACATGTGTACCGAATTGCAGCTCTCTAGGTTTTTTTCTTGAAAATTGATATTTGTTCTTCCATAAGATACGAATAACAATAATAATAAAAAATTCTTGAATGTCAATTCAATATTTTTTCTGCAGGTCTGCATACCTATAAACAACCTCCTTAAATCAATGTAAAAAAATTTGTAAATAATGAAATTCCTGTGAAATTTTTATTATTTTTGGAAAGTAATTAAAAGTTTGTCTAGAATTTTATTAAATTTTTTTTCAAATTATTTAATTTCGGAGAAGAATTTAATTATGCTTTTGCGAAGAATTTGATCAATCAAATTACGGACTTTACGGACCTTTTATAAAGAAAATGGACTTTTACGGACTTCAAGCAAAATTACTGACTTTTACGGGATTTTCGAACCTAGTTCGAGCCCTGCAGGCGCATTACAAAAGAATATAAAATAAATGAAAGAACTGTGAATGTAGTCTGTAAAGCACTATTAAGAAAATTAGTAATTAATTTCTACATAGTTTTAAGTATTTTTAAAAGTTATCAGAGCTTTGAAAATTAATTCTTTATTTAGCAGTCATTATGAGAAAAAATACTCATTGCTGTCAAATTTTCTACTTGTGTGTATGTAAAATATTACACTTTTATTTATTTATTTAATTTTCAATTACGTATTTAGTTTGTGAAGAAATGTATTTCATTATACATTATTCTTAAAGTATTCCAAACAATTACATTATTAATAGTATTGAACTTCTACACAGCACTAAATTGCACGTAACGTATATATTATTTTCGAAATACACTCTTATGTTCTTAAAGTTATACTACACTACACTTTATTTTCAAATAAACAACACTTCTTACACTATATTTCACTTTAGTAAACACACTAAACCACATCATTTAAATTTTTTCTAAATATGCACAATATTTTTTAATTACTTACATAATTATGTAACAGTAAACTTCAATAAACTGTATTTTTCAATGAAAACAAATATTTTCTACCATACACTTTTAAACAAAACTGAACTCACATTATTATTTACAATAATCACCACTGTCCTGAAAATATATCCATATTTTTTAACATTACACTCCACTTAATTTGATTATTAAATAAATAACACTTTCTTCAGCTATATTTAATTATACACAAACACTTTATAATTACACACTACATCACTTCATTCTGACACAAGAATTATATATATGCATTACTATTATTAACATATTATTAACACATCATTTCTTCTTATTTTTTACGACACTAACAGTCACATTTATTAAAGAATATAATATTCACTTTCTGAAATAATTTCTTACACAATTGTATTATAAATCCTTTTAAAATAAAAGGATTTTTCTACAACTAATACGTAGCAGGAAAATTAAGAAAAATTTTCGTATATAAAATGTGGAAGCTAAATTATATAATTCCCTCCCTGTATTTAGAATTACGTGCACAGGAAAATATTTTAGACCTTTTGACCTGGTAGCTATTTGGCTAGCAGGTTAAAAATCTTTCATTAAATTCAACTTTTTTCTTAATAATTATTTTTTATTCAAAAAAGATTCTTTCATCTACTTATTATTTAGAAGTAATTCCTTCATATGTTTTTTAAAATACTTAATTGATTCCTTTCTTGCTTCTTTATACCTCTGAGATCGCTTCGTTGGATGACCGGGCTTTTTTTTCTTCTTTTTTTTCCATTCAAATCTAAAATAAATAAAAATCTTAAATATTGTTACAAAGAAAAATTATCTCAAGTTAAAATTATTCACTGTGAAAACGATTTATTTGATTCAAACAAATTTTGTTTAAATCAAACTTAAAATATCTTTGCTATACAGTCAAACATATTTAAGTTCAATTTAAACATATTTTTTGGTTCCTTTAAAAAATTATATATTTAATTCAAATATAAGTTATAGTTGATTTAAAATTATTTAAAATCAACTTCAGGATTCACAGTGCCCCTAAAAAGTATTTTAGGGGAAATAGGGGACTGAAAATTAAAAAATAGGGGACTTTTAGGGACCATAGAAATTGGTTAAATAAAGATAAAAATATAATTTATTTATACAGGGTTGCCACAAAAATTTAACTTTATTTTTCCCTGATTTCCAAACACAACTTTCACTTTTTCCCTGACCCTAAAGAATATTCTGATTCACTCTGAAAATTATTAGATACTCAAAAAAATGTTTTATCAACGAATTTCAAAAAAAAATTTGCAACAATAATTACATTTTTTGATGAGTTCGATTAAAATTGTATTAAAAATAATTTGAAATTCTATGATGAGTTTTATTTTATTTATGAAAATAATTTAATCTTGGTAAAAAAAAGTTTATTATTTTTGAAAATAATGTAATGTTTGATTTAAATTTTATCAATACTTTTTTTAAATAATTGAAATGTTTTGAGAAATTTTATTATAAAATAGTAGATATTGAAAATTTTTAAAAATTATTGAAATTTTGCCAAGAATTTTATTAAAAGTCTTGAAAATAATTGAATTTTAAAAAAGAATTTTATTATTTTTAAAGATAATTGAAATCTTGACGTGGCACTTTCAAAAATTTTTGAGCATAATTGAATTTCTGCGAATAATTTTATTACTTTTTAAAATAATTGAATTTCTGCAATTATTTGTAACTTCTTATTAATTCAATTTTTTCCAGTACCGTAATAAAAATCCCTGACAACCCTAGAAATGTTAAAATGTTTTTAAAATAAAAAACTTGCAGAATTTCCATGGAAACTCCACGGAAATTCAATGGAATTTCCAGGGGGAACTTCCATGGGATTTTTCGACGTGGGAAGCACCATAAACTTTTAAGAATTTTTTCGAGGAATTCGATTAATATTGCATTAAAAATAATTGAAATTCTGCAATGAGTTTTATTATTTATGAAAATAATTGAATTCCTAAAATTTGTAAAAAAAATATGTAAATAATTAAATTCCTGTGAAATTTTTATTATTTTTTGAAAATAATTAAAAGTTTGTGTAGAATTTTATTAAATTTTTTTTAATAATTGAATTTTGGAAAAAAATTTTTATTATTTCTAAAACAAATTTAAATTTTGACAAGAATTTAAAAAAAAATTTAGAACATAATTGAATTTTTGTGCAGAATTTTTTCAATCATGAAGTTAGACAAAAAAATTCAAATTCAAAACTATTCAAAATTCAAATTTTTTTGTCTGTGACGTCCTGCATATTCTATGAAAAAAGTTACAGGTTAATACCTTTAAGTATTTATAATTCTGTAGAAAATGACCTTTAAAATAAGCTTAAGATCATTAAAAAGCGTTCATTATTTTAGAAGTTATTAAAATTTTTGTAAAACATTGAAAATGACATTTTTTAAAAATATCTTAATAAAAAACTGACCAAATGACTGCTGTAAGGTCTTTTTAAAATTTTATCAACTTTCAAAACAGTGGTGCCAGACGGCGGACGCAAACGGCCCCCACTCTCGCGGCAAACTTACTCCTTCCATATGTTCCATATGACCACACACACTATCATACGCCTGGCTTTTGCTATCGTCGGTGAGCCTCTTTTTCGTTTTTCTCTGATTTCGCTGATTTCTACAGAAATCCGGCGCGAAATTTGAAAATCATGCTTCTCTCAGAAGTATTGTTTCTAAGTTTATTATTAAAAACTCAATATTTACCATGCAATAAATTCATAATTTATTATTAATTACATAATTAAGTATTAAATTGTTCACATATTACTGAATATTTTTTTAGTAATTATAATGTTTTTCATTCTTAACTAATCTTTGTTGATTATTTTTAAAATTTATAATTAATTAAAACAATAAAAATATAATCTATCTAAATTTGAATAAGTTAAAAATATCTATTTTGATAGTAAAAATTCAGTCATTGCTTCAAATAGTAATATTTTACTAATGAAATAGTTAATGGTATATAATTAATTATTAGTTAAATTCACTTTTCAGGTTATGTAAAAATAACTGCTATTCTTGGTAACAAATTCAATTAATGAAACTTGCCTACACTGTAAAAAATCCTTATTGAAATTTCAATCGTACACCGATTGACATAAAATTACAACGGACCCTCGGATGAATTTTACATTTTTGATTATAAAATTCCCATTTGACATGGAAATTCAACAGAAAACTATGTGCTCAACATAACCTTAAAATTTATTTTATTCATTTTTTTTCTTGCACATTTATAATATATCTATTGATTTTTTTACATAATTGTTGGAAAGTGTTTAAGTTATAAAAATGAATACTTTTTTATAATAAAGTTAATAATATCTATGTTTAAAATAGAATAATATCTTTTTTCGAAATAAAATTTTTAAGTGAAATAAAATTAAACAAATATGTTGAACTTTCAACACTCCCGGTAAATTTCCACAGACTACCGAGTGAAATTTCATTTATGGTTGTCCATTGAAAATTCCAAGAAGAATATGAAAATTCATACGTGGTTCCGTTGTAATTTTATGTCAATCGACACTCGTATGAAAATTCAATAAATGCTTGAAAGTTACATGGACTGACCATTTAAATTTCATTAATTCTGTTATTTTCATACGTCGTTCCTATTAAAGTTTTACACATATTACATGGAATATTCAATATGGATTTCTTACAGTGTATTTTTTTGTAGTTATTTATTCACTAATAATTAGTTATTTTTGCTAATTTCTGAACCAAAAAGTCATAGCTACGATTTTACTAATAATACAGGTTATATAATTTGAAATAATAATATATTTTACAACTTAAACCAACATTTAACGAAATTAATTTGTATGTTTAGTTAATAGTTAGTAATATATATAATTGTTTATTGTATTGAAAATACATTTGAACTAATATTAAAAAAAATTATTAAAAACAAAATATTATATATTATTTTTGTTTATCAAATATAAACTGAAAATTTAGAAGTTCCTTTTTATAACTGTCTTTTAGCTTTTATTGCATTAATTTAAATTAATTAAAAAGAAAAATTAAATTTTTCCTCAATTGCTGTGTAGAAAGAATTTAAAAACGTATAGCGAAATAAAATTACGTTAATTTAAAGAACAACAAGGCACACTATTAAAAAAATTTACGTATTTTTTTATTTACATAAACTAAAAAATTACTTTTACATTAAGCATTTTATAATGTTTTTTTGTACATTTATTAAATGTTTTATTAAATTGCAATGAATAAAATATTAATTTATATTACAAAATAATATTTCAGAATTTGTTTTTTTTATACATGGAAAAAGTGTATAAAAGTTTTTTCAACATTTTTTGAGTTACCTCTTACTCAAAATTTTGGTCGGTTTTTAAGAAAGGCACATAACTTTTTTTCTTGTTAACCGATTAAGATAATTTTATTCGGAAAATACTCATAATAAAAAGTACTTTAAAAAAATTAAAATAAAAAAAAGCATTTTTTTTTCAATTCAAATTTTGAAAAAAATATAAATTCGATTTTTTAATAAGTTTGATTTGGGTTAGAAATTTCTAGAAATTAGAAATTTAAATTTAAATTTAAATTAGAAATTTCTAATTTTTTCTATATACATTCAATTGAAAATTAAAAAAAAATGTTTAAACAATGGTGTAAAGTATAGAAAGTATTCTTTACTTTATTGACAATATTAACAAAAAAAAATTTCAAATCGAAGATATATATTTTTCAAAACTTGAACTCAAAAATTTTTTTTCGGGCATCCGGGAAAAATCGCCCCTTAACTCACTCCTAAATAATTAGAGATATTTAGTTCCGATTTATCATGAAAGTTAGGGGAATTCATGATGATAAAGAATATTCTCGAAAATTGCAAGTAATTTTTTAAATAAATATTGAAAAACGAAATTACAAAAGTTGGATTTTTGGCGAAAGTTTCGGCAAAATTATTGCAAAAACGGAGAGAGCCGCGCCTCGGGTGTATTTTCAATACAATAAACAATTATATATGTTACTAACTATTAACTAAACATACAAATTTATTTCGTTAAATGTTGGTTTAAATTGTAAAATATATTATTATCTCAAATTATATAACCTGTATTATTAGTAAAATCGTAACTATGACTTTTTGGTTCAGAAATTAGCAAAAATAACTAATTATTAGTAAATAAATTAATGAAAATTCAAAATTCAATTAAATTAATTAATTAATTAAATTGAATTTGTTACCAAGAATAGCAGTTATTTTTACATAACCTGAAAAGTGAATTTAACTAATAATTAATTATATACCATTAACTATTTCATTAGTAAAATATTACTATTTGAAGCAATGACTGAATTTTTACTATCAAAATAGATATTTTTAACTTATTCAAATTTAGATAGATTATATTTTTATTGTTTTAATTAATTATAAATTTTAAAAATAATCAACAAAGATTAGTTAAGAATGAAAAACATTATAATTACTAAAAAAATATTCAGTAATATGTGAACAATTTAATACTCAATTATGTAATTAATAATAAATTATGAATTTATTGCATGGTAAATATTGAGTTTTTAATAATAAACTTAGAAACAATACTTCTGAGAGAAGCATGATTTTCAAATTTCGCGCCGGATTTCTGTAGAAATCAGCGAAATCAGAGAAAAACGAAAAAGAGGCTCACCGACGATAGCAAAAGCCAGGCGTATGATAGTGTGTGTGGTCATATGGAACATATGGAAGGAGTAAGTT